CGTCTATTCCCCTTAATAGTGCTGACATGCGATACTTCCAATGTATCCAATTTTCACCTTCTAATTTATTAATTTGAAATTTCGACAAATCCATTTTGAAGTTTGGCATTAGCCCATAACCTAATATAGGAAATTGATAGTAGCACTCACCAGTATTAAGCAACGCCGGGATCAGGATCAGTGTTAAAGAAAACCAGGACTAGGATTTTGGATACCTACACTAGTTAATATTAGTCAGCAAGTTCAGTCAATGTTCATAGTATATAAGACTGTCATAAAAAATATTATTTTCTTTTTTTTATTTTACATTGACAAGCGCTGCTAGAATGCATATCGCCTGCCATTGAACCAAGGAGGTTCTTAACACATTTTGTTTAGGACGGCACAAATTAAGTTAAATAAAACGTAACTTTAAAAGACTTCGACTGTCGGCGAGTCAAAGCTAAACCAGTACCTTCCAGTTGACATTATAACCATTAATGAAACAATAATTAAATGTCTGAAATTGTACAAGTACTAAAAGTTATTAATCTGCCAGACGTCGTGCCCGCCACCCCTCAACTTCCGAGGCGAATCCATTAAATGGGAATGCACAGTGCGTTACCTCGGGGTCTAGATAAACCAATTAAACAGGCATGCCGCGGGCAGTATCTTTCTTCCTCAGCTATACTATAGAGTCGAAGCTACCGATGAGGAAGAAGGTAGATACCAGACATTCATTCGGAGTAGGGCTATAAAGTCGAGAGAGTCAGATAGTCGGTGGCCGTTTTTCGAGGACACGTAGTGCCAGTGGATGTTTAGAATTAAGATCTCCAGATAGCATGATGACGCTGTTGAGATCGAGGAGGGCACGTACAACTTACCCACTTCTCAACAGTGATTTGCTAGGAGGCTGGTCAACTGATGCCACTGCTAGCGGTTAATGGCCGGTTATGACGAAAAGATAAATGAAGGCGTCCATGTTGAGAGGCCGCGTTTGCATCTGTATATAATGTAGGGGCCGTTTATAGTATATTAGATTGCGGTTGCCTTGAGTGACGGTGCGGTAATTACGGACGATGTTATAACTTGCAATCCTAGGATCGTGGACTGTGGATTTAAGGGTCTTTAGCGTCTTTATTGTTATCGCTATTCTTTATGTTTGTGTTCGTCTGGAACGGGAAGCGACAGGTGGAGTAAAATGAAATAACGAGTCCAGTGGTGATTATGTACAAATATATTCTTGCGTTATTTACAATAATGGCATGGTTTAATTATAATATATAAAACATATATTCAACGTATCAGAACAGAAAACGATTAGGTCTTAATATGACAGGCTTGTTATTTTTTTCGTCTTCTAACGTCGCTAGGCAACGGTGTTGCCGCGCGTTATCCGTAGAATCGCCACAGGTCTCTTACACGAAGAGAATATCTACTTGACTGAAGTGTGTACTGAAAATTTCGAGTGTTAAGTCTGTCCCATTTCCTTATACAATAAAAATCTTTGTTTTAAGAGATCTAAAAAAAGTATTCTATTGTTGGTTGCTCAATACTATGCATTCCTATAGCTAAATGTTTACAGTTGTATATGTTCACAATTGCTTTTATTTAATCATTATTACCGAAACATAACAAGTAATATTGTTGTAATAAATTAACAATATTAGGATATAATTTATATTATTTAGTTACTATAACTTAATACACAAATACAAAAAAGGTGCATATGGCGAACTAAACATAAAGCATTTTCACTCAGTCGACCCCCTATGGTCGACAAACAGAGCACTAATCTCTGTTGATCTCTCTCTGGCGGTGCATTTAAGTAAATAACATTAAATAAAAAAACATAGTATATGTATATACATATATATATAACCACATAATAATATACATAAATACTTAATACAAAACAACAATGAATAGTCCAGTGAAAGCGGAGATAATTTAAAACTAAATTAATGTTGTCATTTTAATTACAAAAGTTGGTGGAAAAATGTTTCGTAACTTGGATTTAAAGGTAAATTTAGTACATGTAAATGTACTACTACACTCGCGAGCAAAAGTATGGAATCACTTACTTGGAATTGATTCCGCAGAAAGGTTAAACTGTTAACTATAAATTATATTAATTTAAATCACACCAGTATTTAAAGAGCTATCTCGGATTGAGCGAGGGATTAGGAAAACATAAGGATAATGTAAAAAATAAGATATTTATTCTGATAATTTCTTCATTCAGAAAACAACAATTCATTAATAAAATCTTTATTTAGCCTTAAAATTAAGATTCAATATTTTTTGTTCCCTCCCCTCTCCCTAATAACTGCTCGAAGATGGTTCTTATTGACCTAATCAGCTTCTGAATCGATTCTTGCAGGATAGGATACCTTCTCACTCCTCTATTAAAGCCGATTTCAGCTCATTAACACTTGAAGGAACAGGGTTTCTGGACCGAACCTCCTCTTCAGTTCATCCCGTAGGAAATGCCGGCCCACATCATACAAGAATTTGCCCCCATAAGCCGCTGTTTCAGCGAAACAGTAGTGCGCAAATCACTCCCCAGGTCGCCTGTAGACCCGACCCCTTCGGTCGCTGCCGTGCAAATACGTTCTATATTCGTCGGAGAACAGGACTCGCCTCCATTGCTCAACCTGCCCAATAAAGACGGGAGCGAGCAAATTGAAGGCGTGCTTGTCGGTGACCAGTAGGTCTACCACGAAAGTTACTGCCGATTATCGCGTAACGAAACGAAAGACGACCGAAATACTAGTTTAAAGGAACCATGAAGTTTCTTCGGAATAAGATATTTCGGACGGGTACCATAGACTATGATCGTGAACGAATGAAAGATGAGAAGTCTTTTATTATACACTCTTAAATTAGGAAAAAAATAAAGTGGTATACTCCGGATAAAATAAAATGTACAGTCGTTTATATTTAAATGTATTGAAATTATAAACTTCTAAAATTAGTAGTATTTTATGTCATAAGAAAACGTCAAACCTCTATTTACATTTGAATTTTTGTTTTTATTTTTTTATATATAAACTTAAGAATTATCATCACAAGTGTTTTTAAATAATTTTTTATTGCTAAATTTGTTCGTTAAACATCAATGAAAATGAACATCTAATAACTTTGATTTTATTTATTAGTTTCTATTTATGACAAGCGCTAACAAATGTATTTATGCATTTAGATGAGTAATCCCACTGTGGAACAAGTGCATACACTCCTAACATTCCTAGCAGAGCACCAGGAGTTAGCTCGTGGCCACTGTAGAAATGCAGAAGGGCGAACAAGATCCACCCAATTATGGGTTCGTCTCACAGACGAACTCAATGCATTGGGTGGATGCACTAAAACTGTAAAGCAGTGGCAGAAGGTAAGCACTTTTCTTGATATTTTAGTACGTGATATGCATTTAAAATGTTAAATAATTTTGTTATTAAATAAAATTTTCCAATACTGATACTTTATAAATTTTAGGTATGGGCTGACAAAAAATATCTAACTAAAAAAGCTGCTACTGCTGCTTGAAGGTCTGCCACAGCCACTGGGGTAGGGCCATCATCTGCTGATCCTTTAAACCCAATACAGTGCAGAATATTGGGTATTATGGGAGAGGGCTTTGGAGAACCTCAGTCGGATGCACATGTTCCTGCATTTCCAGAGGTATGTTGTAAAACCATTACTAAAATAGTGCTAACTGTTATCTCTAGACATATATAACATAATGGATGTCATCAAAATACATGGTGACTTCCATAGTATTCCTCATGCATTACCATTCCTTTTATTTCTGTATATAAGGTACCTAAATAGCCTTTTCCCACCTTTCAAACTGAAATACAGCTATGCAAGAACAGCTGCTTCATAGCAGAAATATGAGTTGAGACAGAGTTGGTACCTTTTTATATATACACAGTTTTTCAATGTTAACTAAGAAGTAAAGATAAGACAGTACTAATAAATAACACTTACTTATACCTTATTATTGATTAAAAAATTTATATCATAATAAATTATTGTTATATGAAAATATTTCTGTAAATATTAAGATTATTAGTAATGGGGGCTTATAGTCCTAATCACTAGTATATTCCTAGACATCAAGTCTGTTATTAGTACCAATCATGCATACCGAAAACAATAATGATAATAATTATTTTAAAAAAAACTTTTTTAGAACTTCAATGGCTACTACACGTCCAGAGCGACGACGCCGTCGAGCAGACGCCATTGGACCTCGCAGTGTACGCAGGCGTTTGTTCGAAATGGAGGAGCGGCGAATCGCAGCGGAGGATCGACGGGTGGTAGAGTCAGGGCTGATTCGCCAATCACTCCAGGAATTAAATGTATTAAGGGATGGATTGGAGGGTCTACAAATAGAATTAAGACGACTGAATATGAATGAATAATTTTGTTTTTTTTTTTAAATTTGACATGATTAATGTTGATTTGTGTTAGTTTGTTGATTTGTTAAATAATGAGTATAAAAAAGTTACTTAGCTTTAGATATATCATTGTTGATTTGTTGAATTATGTTAGTTTGTTGATTTGTTAAATAATGAGTATAAAAAAGTTACTTAGCTTTATATATATCATTGTTGATTTGTTGAATTACGTTAGTTTGTTGATTTGTTAAATAATGAGTATAAAAAAGTTACTTAGCTTTATATATATCATTGTTGATTTGTTGATTTGTTAAATAATGAGTATAAAAATGTTACTTAGCTTTATATAAGTATATTTATCTTACCAGTTTATCTACTAAACTACACACAAAGTACTAAACTACAGTTTTTTACTGGTCATTAATTTAATGCGCCTTGAACTACACTACTTAGTTTGCATATACTTATACAACATTTTTCTGAATGAATGTTTAATCATTTATAATTAGTGTTATTTTAAAAAATGTTTAATATACAATTTTGATTTTATTTTTATCTATATATATATATACCTACATATATGTGATTATAAAATAAAAATATTTTATTGTAAAAAGTTTTTAATTTTGTAAATAAGTAATGCCTTAACTTCTAATAGAATAGAATAGAAAATCATTTATTCAAATAAACTTATTATATTGCTGTCATCTATGAATTCATCTATCCTATAATAGGCTTTTTTACATAACATTTGTTTAATATCAATTTTAACAGCATTTAGGTAAAATTAGTATATTTTTATTGCATAAGTTTCTACTTGTACAGTCTTTAAGTTTCTTGAAACTATCTAAGTTTTTCCTTGTATACATAATATTTCATAAATGTACTGTGAGGCAACGGTGAGGATATTTGATTCTTTAAAGCCTTGATGTAATGACTATCTCGAACCCATACCATAAATAGAACGTATGGCTCTCTTCTAATCTTTATATACCTGAAAGAAAAGAAAACATACTTAACTGTGAGACTTGGAATTTGATAAATGCACTTGATAGCTTATAGACTATTCAATATAATATCAGCTAATAATATTTAACATAAAAAATACTGAAATACAATCTATAATCATCTTTTATGACATCCTAATAATGAAAAGGAATGACAAAACATTGTATTCTTGTTTGTTCACCAATTTTATATGTAGTACAACTACAAAGTTAACAATTACGATTTATTTACCCAGCAAATAAGTTGTTTCTCCTTGAAGACTCTCCAAATGATCTTTGATCTCGTTATGCTCCCAAATGAATGCATCATGAGTGGCACCACCATAAGAGGCGTCAATATTCATAATTTTTAAATTACTGTCAGCAATCTAAAAAATAGGACAAACATTATAAAGATATTTGCAGATAGTGACAAATATGAATAACTTGAGAATTATTTATACACTATGCAAATTTTACATAAAATACTGTACTTACAACTTGAACATTTAAAGAGTGGTAATGTTTTCTATTGAAAAATCTTTCTTCATTGACTGTTGGCCGAATTATAGCTACATGGGTGCTGTCGATACATCCTATAACACCAGGGATACCATACTGTGTAGCAAAACTGAAAAAGAAATATAAACTACTGATTATTTAAACATCAATTAACTTATGCTGATTTCTGAAATTAACAACAATATCATTTATAAATTTACAGCTACAAATAGTTGACTGAACTAAATTAATAGTATATGTATTATAAATCGACAAAGAGCATAAAATTCTATAAAGTTAAATCTTAATCATATTTAATATACATAAACTTACTTTCTCTTCAATATGTTCCTGTCTTCCCTGGACTGAGGAAATCTTATATATTTCCTTAGTATATAGGGTGTATTTAGGGCATCTGTTACATCCCTGATGCAGTTTGAGACAGACTGCTGAGCCATAGTGGTGTCTAAATTTTGTCCGACTGCACCCTGGTAGCTACCACTGGCATAAAAATTTAATGCAGTGAGAATCTGAAAAAAAATAGATATGGGAATACTAAATAATAGGTAAATACTAAATTTTTTCATCTACAAAATGTACATAAGTTCTTACTTTGGTTATTGGATCGATTGCTCGACTATTTTTAGGCAGGGGTAATAATCGTACCACATACTGACAAAGATTCTCGAAGACTTCCCGACTGAGTCTGTATTTAGATACAAACTCGAAGTCGGGAATGGATCTTTGGAGGTACCTAGTACGCATTTTTCTTTTAAACCTGCGTCTTTCAATTTCTTCTTCATTGAGGGCTTCTAAAATTCCAGCCAATCTTGGCATAATGAAACTAAATCAAAATAAAGTAATGCTAAGTTGTAGGTTACATTGAACACAATAATATTTAAAAACACTAATTAGTTTAACTTTTATCACATTATTCACTGTAACACATTAACTGAATTATTAATTAATCACTTTTTTATATATTACAGCACTTATATACGTAAAATCCATACTTACGAAAGTAAAAAGTTAACTATTTAGGTTTCGTCTACTTCGCACTTTAAATCACGATAAACGTGCTGTCAAAACGTCATAATCACGTACGAACGGATACTTCATGGTACGATTTGGGACGATCGAAACGATATTCTCCGTTTTCGGGCACGATTTCGGAATGAACGTTTTTCATGGTACGAATCACACGAAATATCGATCCGAAATTTCGGAATTGCACTTCGTGGTAGACCTACTGTTGTCAGTTTCGGGCCTTTTCAAATTACCTTGCTTAAGTCTTCGACGAACTGTCTACTTATTGGCAGCTACCCCACGAACATTTCGGAGGTCCTGTTGGACGTCGACACCCGTCAAATGTCGATTTTGACGAGACGAGTTTTGAAGAGAGGTTGATAGAATGAAACAATCCAGCCTCTCCGATGTGCACCGGCGTCGTCCTCGGGTTAAAGCACCAGTCTCCCGAAGCTGTTTATAAACTTTCAAAACACAGGACTGGCTTATGTGGAGCTGACGTGAGACCGCCCGCTGGCTCTCAGATGAGCTCAAGAAGGGGTCTTCTTCCAATAGGGCGACGATTTGGGCTGGTTCTGAAGGTGTACCTATCCTTTGTCGTCTAAGTTCAAAGGTCAAAAGTAACGGATCTGTGTACTGGTTAAAGTGTGAAAGCCCAGTCGGCTTTCACACTTTAACCATTACACATATCCGAATATAAAGAAATTAATTTGGTATTAATTTAAAGTCAACAGTTTACCCTTTCAAATGGTATCATTTTTTTATTATTTTATTAAGTATTCAAGATCGCGCGGAATCAGTTCCAAGTGATTCCATACTTTTGCTAGCGAGTTTAGATTTAATGTCAAGGGGCAAAGTATTCCAGTGTTTAATGATTTAGAGACGAAGTTCGTACGATTAGCAAGAACGTGCAAAAGTAGATTCCTAGACGGACGAAGGTTACGGTGAGAGATGTCCCCATGAAAAAGAAATTTGGTCTTAAGATACTCAAAAGTGCTTGGATTGTATAGTATTGAATACAGTGTACACATGAGGCTAACAATTCTGCGTTGGCGAATCGGCCATTTAAGCTTAAAATGATAAAGAGAGATATGGTCCAAAGATCGAAAATGAAACAGATAGCATTATTAAGAAGACGTTCCAATTTATTTAAGAGGTCCTCATCCATATCAGAGCAGCACACATCAACATAATCAATAATGGGGAGCAAGAGGGATTGAATCAGTAGGGTTTTAGTACTACTAGTGGGAAACAACGGCATAGTAGCCATTTTTAGTTCGAAAAACGGATTTCGATGGCGTCATTGGTATCGAATGAAATTCAACATTGTTTTGCAATCGTTTAAAACCCAAAACTATGTTTTCAAAAAGGTTTAATCTATTTTTAAAAGATAAAGGAGACACAGTGGTGTGGTTTACGGTTTTCTTGACTGTGTTCGTAGAAAGGACTGTTTCAGTTGGCTGAGAATGCTAAGAATAAGGACAACACAACACATGTTAGCTTACAATTAAAATAGTGGTTGAGTAAAATACATGTATAATAAAATATATGTAACAGGTTGACAGACATGACATAGACAAGGATTTTAAAATGTGGGGAATATATACAAAGGGGGTTATATTTTTATATTATTGACAGCAATCAATTTGGCTAGTATTTTAACTAGAGAGGAGTGGGCCAGTGTTAAAAGAAAAGGAATATTAATAGGCTATGCTCCCCCGTAATATTGCCAGCAATATTACGGGGGAGCATATCGTAGAGTGGAACTGACAGGTTTTGACATGTGAAAAATATGTGCTCCAATGTCCCTTCGTCTAGGCCACATTCCCAGAGAGAGTGGTCATGAACTCTGATTTTAAAAAGGAAAGTGGGAGTACAATTATGTCCTAGTCGGAGGCGGCATATAACTGAAGTAACCCATTTGTCTAGTGAGCGCTGGGAGAAGAACCATGGTTTGGAGGGTATTTCCGGTTAAATGCTTCCATAATACTTTCCTTTTTCCAGTCTCGTTTTTTGCCATAGGTGGTGCCATGCCTTTTTTTTTTTTAACGTGTGGAAAATCTTCAAAAGACCTTCACCCTGCCGGAGGATGGGCGGGGCGGTGTGTGAGATTTGTACTCACCAAAAACCACACGGTGTACCTACGAGCGCCTATGCCCCCATAGCATGCATAGGCCCCATCTCGTTATGTGGTTAGGGCGACCTATTTCGCCCTACTCCATTGTGGAGGCGTGTGGGTACACGCGCACACCTCCGGGGCCTTTGGATTGGGGGGACTGCCTCCCTCAAGGCAGTCACCCCGGCCCCAGTGGGGGATAGAGGGGGGCGGAGTTGGATACGCCCCCACCTCTAGGCCTGGCTCTTCTGCGGCGGAGGGAAGCGGGACGAGCTGACTCCCGCTCCCTTTCCGCCGCCTCCTTCCGCGAGATAACTTCCTCGCAGAAGGAGCTCACCGCCAGCCACGATCTCTCGCTACTGATCATTCTCCGAACTAAATTCGGCAGCGAGAGATCGTCCCCCACTATTCGTGTCAGGACACGCCGCTCACTCTCGAACGCTGGACATATTTCCAGCGTGTGTTGCGCCGTGTCCTCCACACCTCCGCACTCGTGGCAGCCGGTCGTCGGCTCCTTCCTCGCCACATGACACAGATACCGCCCGAAGCATCCGTGCCCGGACAGTATCTGCGTCATGCGGTACGTCAGTGGCCATCGCCTACTCATCCACCTTTTGAGGATGGGACGGACAGCCTCGACGGTCCTCAGGCCGGCCGATGGACTGGCCAGCCTTTCTCTCCACCTGATCCTGAGGATCCGCCGAAAGTCGGACCTCGGCGCTCCAATCTCGTGGCCAGCGGGTGCCTCCCCCATGGAACGTCGCTCCGCGCGCCAGTGATACACTGACGCGTGGAGCTCCGCTACCAAGTCCCACGGAGGAGACCCCGCCAGGACCTCGGTCTTCTCCAGCGCCACCTGGAGCCCAAGCCTTGTTATACGACCGACGACCAGCGCCACGCATGCCGTGGCAAAGCGGGTAGCCTCCAGTAGGTCCCGCCCTCGGACAGTGACCAAGGTGTCATCCGCGTAACACACGAGGTCAGTGCCCGTTAAAAGGGCGCCCCGCAGGTTCCAATCATACCCGATGTTCCACAGGATCGGGCCCAGAACCGACCCCTGTGGAACACCGCGTTGCATTTCCCTCGGCACTACAACGCCGTTCCGCCCCGTGCATAGCACAGACCTGTCTTCGAGATAGGCCCCGATCACGTCCCGAATATAGGGAGGCGCGCGATGGTACTTCAGCGCCTCCCTAATAGTCGCAAAGGGCAGGGTGTTGAAGGCGTTCTTAATGTCTAGAGAGACCGCCAACAACACCCCACCCTGGGACGTCGCCTCTTCCGAGGGAGCGCACACGCGAGATCGCGTCGATCGTTGAGCGCCCCTCTCGGAACCCGAACTGCTTCGGGCTGAGATCCGGACCTACCTGAGACAGGTGTTGGACGAGTCGGCCCGCCAAGATTCGCTCGAAGAGCTTGCCGATCTCGTCCAACAGCACTATGGGGCGGAACGCCGAGGGAACCACCGAACCTGCGGGGTGCTCCGCTTTGCGGAGCAGGACCACTCTACCCGCTTTCCACTGATTGGGAAACCGTCCCGACTTCAGACACGCGTTGAACAAGCGCCGGAGTCGGTCCCCTAGGGTGTTTAGGGCCAAGGCCAGGACGCGGCCGTGGATACCATCCGGACCCGGGGCGACATTCTTGCCCCGGAAGGTGGTGCCATGCCTTTTTTTTTTTTTTTAACGTGTGGAAAAATCTTCAAAAGACCGTCACCCCGCCGGAGGGATGGCGAGGTGGTGTGTGGGACTTGTACCCACTAAAAAACCACACGGTGTACCTACGAGCGCCTATGCCGGAGCCAGGGGATTCGCAGGTGCATTCTACCCCAGCTCCGACGGCGACGGCCCGCCCTGTAGATGTTGTAGGGCAGGCCCCATCTCGTTTTGTGGTTAGGGCGACCTATTTCGCCCTACTCCATTGTGGAGGCGTGTGGGTACACGCGCACACCTCCGGGGCCTTTGGATTGGGGGACTGCCTATGCCTGCATCAACTGAGGCTTTGCCTGTGCTCGTAGATCACGAGCATAACATTTGTTATGAGTGGTATTGCCCATACTCACCGCTTGTCTGGCCTAACTGACTCGTTCCCTATTATTCCCGAGTGGCTAGGAATCCATGCTAGAGCAACATTTATACCAGAGTTATGACATTTGTAGAGACTTTGTCGTATTTCCAAGGATATAATAGAGTTGTTTTTGGCATGGAATGGATACTTCTGGATATCTTGTAAGCAACTTAGAGAGTCTGATAAGATTAGGGTTTTATTAATTTGGTGGGATTCTACGTATAAAACAGCTTCTAAAATGGCGATAGATTCTCCAGTAAAAATCGATGTGGGAGGAGGACATTTAAAACTGAGCAGTATATTGTATTTAGGGATCCATACTGCAGCGCCAGTGTTGCCGTCATTAGACAACTTGGACGCGTCAGTATAAACGAGAACTCAATCTCTAAAGTATTCCTCTATAATTTTATTAAAATCCTGATTTGCTGTAATGCTGTGTTTTTGGATATTAAAGTTTAAATGCACTGTGGGGTGAAAAATTAAGGAATTATAATCATATTCAAAGATAGGGTTGCGATGTGTTCTAATGATTGAGTAAGGCAAGGCTTTAATTGTGTGGAAACTCTTGAGGATTGGTGAATCCGCTTATTGGTCACGTAAGGAACGTGACCAATAAGCGGATGTGGAGGCTAGGTCTGACAGGGTTTCTAAAGCTGCGACCAAAGGATGGTCGTTGTACTGGTAAGCATTTAGGAAGAATCTATCTGAAAGGAATTGTCTGCGAAGTTGGAGGGGAGGATCTACACATTCTACTTGGACTGCGTTATTAGGTGAAGATTTCATTGCACCCAGAACTAATCGTAGGCACCTCGATTGGATTCTGTCAAGTTTTGCCAAGGCAATTTTATTGCATGGTTCTAGCAGGAAACATCCGTAATCAAAGTGGCTCCTAACTATGGAGTTGTACAGAAGCTTCTGACTATAGGGATGAGACCCCCAACGAACTCCAGAGAGAGCTTTCAGTACGTTAATTGCACTCTCACACTTATTAGAGATGTAAGTGAGATGATGGAGACCAGAGAGTTTAGAGTCTAG